TTATTTAAATTTCTTGTTTTTGTTATTATAAATTTCGCATGATTTAATTTGCTTTTATATAGTATTTGATATTTTGTTGTTTTTGTTGCTGTTGTATTACACAATTTGCTTAAAACTTACTTAATTAGAAAAGTTTGCACACACATGCACACACACACACACAGCGAAATGCGCCTGCGTGTGTGTGCGTGTATGTGGGTGTGTGTCGCATTTAACTTACAGGTAAGTTTGAAAATTTTCCGAATTTTCTTTTCTGTTTATTTGTTTTTGTTTTTTTTTCTTTTCTTTTCTTTTGTTACCCCTCACGAATAAATTGTGTTTCTCTTAAGAGTTGCTTGTTTGCTGTTGTTTATGTTGTTGTGTTAGTTGTTTTTTTTTGTTTTGTTTTTGTTTTTGTTTTTTTTTGTTGCTGCCGTTCGTTAAAGCAACTGGGAAATTTCGCGCAGTGTATTGAGCTGAGCTGAGCTGTCGATTAACCGTATTCCAACCCGTGCCAATTGCTGTTGACTGCCACGCCCACATCCTGATTTCTGCTGCTGCCGCACCCCGCTCCCCGTCTCGTCCAGATCAGCTTAATATCTGCGCGCTTGGCCATTATCTCAGGCGTAGAACTCACGATTATTCGCATTTTTCGCATAGGAATTGTTAGCGGGCGAACGCTTTGGCTCGTCCAGCGCATAGGAGCCCTCGTCCTTTTTCCGCATGCGATACACAATGAACATGACCACCAAAATGGCGCACAGCAGCCCAACCACGGCGCCACCAATGACAGCTATACGAGTGACAAAAGAGACAATCGATTATTATGCATGGATTATAGTGTATGAGTGTATGAGAAATTGGGCTCTTCTACTCACCAGCCAAGATGCCGGGCTGCGCAAAGAAACTTGTCGTGCGATCCTCCTCGCTCATGATGACGATATCCCCGCTGCCGCCGGGCCTGTGCTCGCTGATCTTTGTGTCTGTGGGCTGGCTGTTTATATTGGTGTTGGGGTCCAATTCGTGGACGTTGGTGCTGCCGCTGCTGCCACCCGCTGCAAGAAGTCAATATAGAGCGTTGAGTATATATATATATGCATGTATATATGTATGCATGTAGAGTATTGGAGAGTTGATGCGAGTATCAAACGTGCAGATACACAAATAGTTACGTAGTACATAGAACCAGTGTCCAGTGTGTAAGTGTGCGAGTGTCGCTGTGTATGTGTGTGTGTGTGTGGGTTAATGAGCTGAACTAGATATGTGTGTGCGTGTGTGTGTTTGTGTGAGTGAGTGTGAGAGTCTATATAGATATATGCAATATGTACAGGCTTTAAAGTGCTAAGTTAGTTAGTTAGTTGTTCAGCTGGGCTCAACTACTTTGATCTGCGAGCATTTTGAGAACTTCTCTCTGGCCTATGACAGTAAGCTAGAAATTCAATTTATCAAACAGGAGTTCGCGGCCCGCCCCCCTCCCGCCTGCTGCCATAATCAGAAAACTTTTGTCACAAATTTCTGGTTTATCCTCGAACAACTCGACTAAACTTGTTTTTCCTGCCAACTATTAATCTTGCCTTCGCTGCGTTTGACCTAGTTGGCAGTTGAAAATTTGCATATTTTAACTCAAATTTCTGGCAGCTTGAAGCCTCTTGACGTTTTTTATTTTTTTCTTTTCCCCATCTTCTGTCTTATGTTATGCTCGTAAACACCTGAATGGGTAAATTTAATGCCAATTAGCACTCGGAGCAAATGAATTTTAATTAATTTAATTGGCATTTCCCTCACGCTCCAGCGGGGGCACATGTCAGGAGCAGGTCAAAGGGTTTGCTTGAAATGAGCTTAAGACAAACAAACGAATAAACAAACAAACAAACAAGCGAACAAGTGAGCAAACATATTGCTTGTTTAGTCCTTGTATCCTGCTTGCAATGTCAACACAAATACAAACATCACATACGTATGTGTATGTTTATGTCTGCGTGTATAACTAAACGAGGGCTCTCCAATAAGTGACAGACAGATAGAGAGAGGGAATGAGAGAGTGAGAGGCAGATTGAGTGCTTTAATTAGAATCTCTGCCTAAGAGTATGTCTATTGCACTTTCGAGAACTTCATTGAACTAGTTTTAGTTTAGTTCAATTATTGCTTTTAATACAAGTATTTATATTGGAGGTGCAATTGTAGCTCTTTGATGTTAATATAATAATATTTTGGTTAAATTTATATGCTCCAATTTAATGCCTCATTACTTCCCTATATTTAACTATTCAAACTATGCAAATACTGTCCCYAAATGAACTATTCCTATTTATTTATTGGACTGCCCTCGCATATGTGCTATTGTTCATGGCTTTCAGAGCATTTGAAATACAATTCAACATATTAATTAGGATCAACATTGCCAACGGCACTTCAGATACTCCTGCCATGAGGCCATAGAAGGGGTAATCCAGCTCGTTTGCCGAAAATAGAAAATTAATGAGCATGCGGATTGAGTATTTATTTTCTTGTTCTGTTGTGCACTTGAAGCTGTGCTCAGGTTAGCTTTAAGTTGTCGAAGTTCTCAGGAAGGTTATGCCTAGGAGCCTGTGCAAGGGCGGCTCTCAAGATGGTGCTGTAAATAGTATTTGCTTTTGGCTGGGAATGGAAGCCAGCCGCTGCTGCTGCTACTGTTGTTGTTGTTGTTTGGTTGTCTAATGCAAATCATAGCAGTTGCAGAACTCTTTGACTGTGGCCTGATTGAAAAATGCACTTTGCACAGCACTCCCAGTCCACCCACTGCGTATTGACGTGGGCGTGGCCAGGGGCACTATAGAACGTTGATTGTCAAAGCCAAGCAGGAGACACACAGCCCACCCCCCACCGAAAACTGCTCAGACAAAGGCACTAAACGCCAATGCGTCGTATTCGCAACAAACAATGTGGCAACTGCCTGCGCAAACAGGGCGCGTGGCAAAGAGGTGCCAAGGGCGTGGCGGGATGGGTAGCGGATCGCTGATGGTGTGCCACGCCTTCTACGCCCTTCAAACTGTGATTTTTCATGTGAAGTGGCCCTGTGAAGTGTTTTCCCCTCGTTGCCAGTGGAAAATCACAGCGCAGCTTAGTGAGTTCCTTCAGAAGTTTGGCGCTGTTCAGACAGTAAATCTAATGCTTAGGGACTGTCGGTGTGACTGCTCGGGTGTGTGTGGGTGTGTGTGTTAATGGAACTTTACGGCACACAATTGCGAACCGTGTTGTGCGGCTCAAAAAGCCAGCCAAATGGCAGCCGTTGATTGAGTGGCTTTGCTCAAGCTGGAAGAGAGGGAAGGGAGCACAGCCAAATCGATTGTTTGCTCGTTTGTTTGTTTGTTTGTTTGGTTGTTGTATTTTTTGTTTTTGTGGACTTATCGGCTCAGAAGACAGCAATAGTCATTAATTAATCCCTAACTTTCAATTTAAAATCCCCAAAAAGCTAAAGAGCCTTGGCTATAAATGAGAGCGAGAGTGAGATAAATGAAATGAGCATGAGTCGAATGAAACTAATGTGAAATATATAGCTGAAAATTGAAAATCTGTGTTGGATATAGTTGACAAGGGTATCAAGAGTTGGTCGTATGTGTTGTGTAGCCAGAACCGAGACAAGGACAACGCGTCGATCAACGTAGAGGCAAAGAGAGACAGATAGAGAGAGAGAGAGAGACATATTGCAGCAGCCGTGATGAGATCTAAACTAAAAACTAAACTCAATTTGTACTTAAACAAGAGATAAATCAAAGAAATGCAACCAACTAAAAGCACCAAAAAATAAATAAACTGCCCAACTATATAAATAGAGAGAGAGAGAGAGGGATATAGGTGTGCACTGTAGAAATAATAAAAATACAAAATATAAAACAATCAAATTAATTAATTAAACTACATAAATAATACCGAATAAGGCAAAAGCAATTAGCTAAATAAATAAATCATCAGCCAACAAAAGCGACAGCAATGCCAAAATGACAATTGAACGGTGGGTGGGGCAATCGCCCCTCAGAATGCAATGAAATTGGCAAATGTGAAGTCGCTTTTGTTGGCTGAAAATGTGTCAAAAACTAGTCGCATGCTGCACAGGCTACACTGCAAGAAATAAGTGCAGAGTTTCACTGCAAACTCTAATATAGATGAAACTGCAATCGAATCATATATATATATCAAGTATATATATGTTTTCATCTTTTGCATTCACTTTTCTCGCAGTGCACTTGGGCAGTCGACTAATCTTTGGCCGACACAACTGAAGCATGCCACAGAGCGTAAACTTAAAGCATAGTAATGTAGAAATGTGCAAACACTGCTCCCGGACAAAGCACACACAGTGAGAAATTGATAGACAATAGCAACAAAGGATGATAACAAAGGACAGTCACCAAACACAAGATGTACAGAAGAATAAAAGGAAATACAAACAAGGATAACAAACTAAAAAACATAAAAAAAGAAGGCACACAACAGAAATAAACAAAATAATAATAATGGAAGAACCACTGACATCCGCCGGCTGTGTGTGTCACATCCTTGTTGACACTGATCTCCGTGTAGAGTCCATCATCCTCGTCCACATTCTCATCCAAATCGATAATGTGACCATCACCATCGCCATCGTTGTCATTGCGTCCATTGGACGTCTCCACATGCGTGTGATGTGTTTGAGTGATTTCGCTCTCGGGATGTGGATCGATCAGCTGATCATCTTTGTCGTCCRCATCGTCGCCATTGTCATCATCATCATCATCGTCGTCATCACCATCTTCGTCGTCGTCATTATCATCGCCACTGCCCTGCAGCGTATCCTCGTGATCGAAGGCATCGTCCTCATCCTCGGCATCGGGCAGCAATGGAAGTTGGGGCGTGGACTGATTAAAGGTCGAGCTGGGAGTGGCCAAGGTGGTGTTGGTGGTGGCGATGGTGCTACTGTTGTTGTCAACTGATTTCGACTGTTGTTCGGTTGCTGTGTTGTTGAGTTGGGGCGGATTGGTGGTTGTGCTGGTGGAGATGGTGGTGGTGGTGGTGGTGCTAATGGTTGTTGTTTGTGTTGTTGGTGTGTGAGCTGCTGGATATAAAGATGTGGTTGATGTTGTGTTTAAATAAATATTAAAGAGTTTCTTGAAAAGTGGATTGTTGTCGTCGTTTCGGTTGTTGTTGTTGTTGTTGTTCTCATTGTTGTTGCTGTGGTTATTGATCTTGTTGTTGTAATTACTTAAAATTATTCTTGGACCTGTCGTATTATTATTGCTAAACGTTGGAATTGAAAGGAGTTTCGATATGTTTGAGGTGTTCAAATTGGATGAGGGATTGGTAATGTTTGTTGTAATTGTGGCTGTGGTTGTGGCTGTTGTTGTTGTTGTTGTTGTGTTTGTGAATTGATTATTAAGAGATGTAGAAGATGTAACGTTGGCATTGTCAATGGTTGTTGTTAGTCTAGCTTGATCTTTACCGATTGTGCTGATGCCACTACCACTGCTGATGATGCCGTTGTTGTTGTTGTTGTTGTTCAGGTTGTTGTTCTGGTTGTTGTTCTGGTTGTTCTGGTTGTTGATATTATGATTGCTGTTGGCGTTGGTGCTACTACCAATGATTGTGCCACTATTCGCTGGATGATTGTTATTATTATTATTATTATTATTATTGATATTGAGATTATTAAGATTGTTCTTGTTGTTGATGTCGATTTGATTATGATGATTGATTATACTCGAGATGAGATCGTTGTCGTCGTTGTCGTTCGTTTTATGCTTACTATTTGAGTTGCCCGCGTTCTGTACGCGCGTGTTGTGCGAACTGGAATGGTGATCGGTTATGGCGTCCTCGTCATCGGGTCCAAAGCCAGAGCCAGAGTAGTCCGTTTCCTTCTCTAGATCATCGTGTATCTGAAACAATGGAACAAAGGTTCAAAGTTAAGTGCTTTCTTTAGCCAACAGCAGCAACTGCAACAGAAATACACAAAATACAAGTTAAGAACTGTTGCTTTTGTCCCAAATTCCCTTTGGAGCGGACGGACGGACGGACGGACTTTTGTGTGGCGCAACAAATGGCAACGATTTGCATTGAAAATTATGCGACTGCCATGTCCTTGACAGGCAGCAGCGCGTACGGTGCTTGACTAGCGGGTGTGGCCTGAAGAAGGACGAGGAGTAGGAGTGGGCGGGGGGAGGAGGGTGCGGCACAATGGGGCATACCTACACTGGGGACACATTTATATGGCCATTGTCTGGCATCGAGCCCCAGTTGGTTGACTATTGCGAATGTTGTGGCTTTCGTGCCTTCACTGTGGCTTTTGCGGTTTATTTGGGCAACACAGAACACACACACACACACACATAGACAATGGCAGAACAAACTGTGACCAATGCCAATTGTCCTGGCACAGAGGCTGCCCCCACACTCGACGCTTGTTTATTTACTTTAATTTTGTCGCCGTTTGCTTTGGCCCATAAAAACAGTGCAGGACACAGGACAACGGACAGACACTGAGAGAGTGATGGAGAGAGAGAGAGACAGAGAGTGAGGGGAGCTGGACTCAAGGAGTCAGTAGCCTGAAGCAACTTAATTGAATTTGTTCACGCGTTATGAAATGCCAACATGTTTACGTTTATCTGTATAAGTGTGTACAATATACGACGAGGGCTGGGACGGAGTTGCTGGGGGGCTGGCAACGGGGCACTTGTTGGCCCACCCCGCTTGCAGTCACGCCCCCTCGCTACACATTTCGACCATTAAGAAAACGGTTAGTCGCAGCTGCTTAGCCATCAGATGAATGCCGAATTCCTGCCTTCAACCGCAACAAAAACATGAAGCAATATTACCTTTTACCTTCGGTTCAACTGTTGACCTTTTGCCACAAAAAATATCATTCTCATTATCATTATCGTTATCATCATCATTATAATGCTTATGCTCACACCGCCGCAATGGCGCAATTCGGGAATTCTCTTTGTCCACAGAACTTTGCTAACAAATGTGCAGCGGCGAATTATTGAATTATTTCTAATTTCTGCGTCGGCATTCAATTATCGTGTGTCCCCATTTATCTTGCCGTAGCTTGCTAGCTGTAGGTGCGACAGATAAACCCACTTTTATTTACGTTTGCCATAAATCAGTTTTAGCCCTAAATTATGAACTTGGGCCGCTTTCGCCACTTAATTGAGATTTAATGGCATCTTAGCTACTAAATTGCTTGGCCTGTGCGCATTTAATTGCTTTCGAATGCTACAAATTATTTCTTTAAGTTCCTATTTTTTTTTTTTTTTTTTTTTATGGAGACCAATGTCAGTATAGATAATGCTATTTACATTTGTTTGCTTAAGAAGCGAATCATAATAAAATGCATCAAAAGCAATTTCTTTAGCTATTTGTAGATTCTTGGAGCTACAAGACAAAGCTACCTTTTTTGATTAACTGTAAATTTTGTAAAATAAATCTAAGATATTGAAATTTGTTATTACTATGCAGAATCTTCAGAAGTGGTGCTATGATTTCTTACAGCCTTTCAACAAGACATTTATTTATCATAAGCATATTATATAACTCATCCTAGAAATTCTCTCTTTTTACAATATATCAATTTCAGCTTCAATTTATTTCACTCTTTGTTATAAGTACATGATGTTGTGAATGGTATTTTAAAATGGTTGAAGAGTTTAGGCTAATACATAGTCCTTTTCTGCTAAGTTATTTATTTACATACATGACATATGGATATGCAATAACATTATTATTTGGGGGAAAAAAAAAACAAAGAAATAGAAAACCCCATGAAAATTTACTATAAACTAAATTAAATTAAATTAAATACTAAACACTAAAAACTACAAGTCTATGTCGTTTATATGTGAATATGAGTTCAGTTCAGTATATATGTATTTGCTAATCTTAAGAAAAACTCCCATCGATATTGATTACACCCACAATTCTATATCTAATGTCCTCTTGGTTAATCGAAAAGTTGACTCGCTTCGTTTCCCAAATTGGTAGCTTTGCTAAAACATGCCAAAGTGTGGCATGCCACATGCAAATTGAAAAGCTTTCGTCTAATTTGATATTTGTTGAATAATTACCAAGCACCGCATGCGCGTCTAATGGCGCGTGTGAGAGGGCTTAGCTGCATGCAGCTTCCCAATTTGTAGCCCATGAATAAAACATTCGAGCTGAGCTCGGGCTGCCGTCCGTCCGTCTATTGCTACGGAAACACGCGGCATTTAATTAAATATAATTTTATTTTTAGATAGCGCTCGGGCGTTGAAAGTGAAGCGCATGTTTTTGTAATTTATTTTGCACACACTCACCCCACACACACACACACACACACACACACTCGCACACACACTTCCATTAGAGACAAATTGAAAGCATACAAGCCGGCGGCTCAACAACTTTGGCAAGCAAAAACAAAAAACAAAAAACAGAAAGCAAAAACAAAATACAATACAAATTTTACATGAAATGCGCTTATGGCGAAAATTTGTTTTTCATGTTTGGTTTTTATGCTGTGTGTGTGTTTTTTTTTCTCACTCATTTGTTTTTTCTTCGTTTGCGCTGCGCAATTTAATTAAAAAATTTACGGCGTTTGGAAAAATTGTATTATTGCGTATACGCACTGCGGGCCAGCATTTTTATGGCGCTCATAAATTTTCGTATATGTGTGTGTGTGTTTGTGTATGTGTGCTTGCGTTTGTGTGTGAACATTCGCACATTTGTATACACAAATCATTTGGTCAAAAGTGGCTCATAAAGTATAGCAAAATGTTAGCCAGTTTTTTGTTTCTATTTCGTTTTTTGCTTTGTTTTTAACTGTTTCGCATATGGCCTTGCTGCCTGCTCCTTGGCTGCACAGTTTATTTAAAACGTTTTTCAAACAACATTTTAGCTAGCTGCCCCAGCTGCAGGGAGCCCCAGTGGCAACCCCCAACCCCTGCCCCTGCTGCCACTGCTGGCACTTTTGCCTCGCTTCGGGCCTGGCCACAATTCTTTGTCGCTGTTTTCCCCGCTTGATTTATGCAGCAATTAGTAGCGGGGCGTGGCGAGTGGGCGTGTCGCGGGCATTGTTGCTGCTGCTGCTGCTGCTAGACTGGGCGCTGTTGCTCACGTGGCTGTTGCAAGTCTAATTGCCCTGTTGCCGCCTCGCTGCTGTTTGGGCCACATTTGTTGCCTACTTTTCAGCGCGGCCGCCAATGAATGAACTCTCGATGCAGGCGGCAGGTCTGCCAAATTGCACTTTCATAGTTGCGGTTTACGCTTACTTAGGCGCCAGCCTTTTGGCCATGGCTCTTGGCTCTTGGCTCTTGGCCGTTGCCTGCTGGCTGCTGGCTGCTGGCCTCATTAAACATGGCCCGCAAACGTTATACGCGATCGATAGACTGCTCGCTCGCAACTGCGGCGGCAACTGTGAATTTTATGCAATAAATTGCTTTGTTAATAAAACATGAGCAGTGGGCGTGGCTAGCGGCTGGCGGCTGGATGATGCTATGTGGGTCATGCATGAATTTAAATGATGTCATTTGAACGTGCCACCTGCAACGGCAGAGCAAGAGAGCAACAAAGCGAGAGAGAGAGAGAGAGAGAGCAGATGCAGCAAAAGGCAGCAGCTGCTGCTATTTTCAGTTCAACTTAATGGCGCTGACTTTAATATTTTTCGCATTAAATTTGCATTTGCTGTACTGCAAATTCCAGTTGCAGCATTTGCAGCAGCTGCTGCTGATACTGTTGCTGCTGCTGCTGCTCCTGCTGCTGCTCCTGCTGCTGCTGCAACTATTGCTGGCTGGCCAACGTGGCGTATGCTTGACACCGTTTGTGATATATGAGCGCCAAGCCACTCGACTCGCCTCCCCTGCTGCTCGCCTGGACTCGTCTCGTCTCCGCTGGCAAATATGAAATATGCAAATGCTCACATAAAAGCGCTTTGCACAAAGTTAATATCGAGCAGCTGAAAATGTTTTTAAAGAGTTTCTCCAGCTCCTCGCAGTTCAATTTCAACTTGCACCAAAAGCTAAACTTTGCAGCTGAAGTGCAAAACTGCAAATCAAATTTATAAAAGAGCGCAACAACAGCAACAGCAACAACAACGATGGAGTACAACAAATTTCTTTGCCTTAATGAAAACAGCAAGCAACGAGTAGAAAAGTAACTAACACAAAATGAAAATAAAAATAAATATAAAAATAAGAAAAGAAAAATATTAACAAAAAGTGCGCAAAGAAACGGGCAACAACCTTCAAGCATAATGAGCGCGGAAAACTATGTCAGCTCAGATGATGTACAACAAGGATGCGGGGGGCGAGGTGAGGCGAGGCTGCTGCATGGCCTTATGCATAAACAACAAGTTGCAGTGCAGCCAGGAAAAAAGGATAATAAAGGAACACATAAAAAGGGTATCATAAACTTGTGCAAGTTGCAAGCCAGAGGCTGAGTGTATTTCAGGCACAGAGAGAGAGAGAGAGAGAGAGAGAGAGAGAGAGAGAGCACTATAAAGTGCTTCTTATATTGAACATAGAAGCTTAAGAAGTATTTTATTTACATAGAAATTCTTAAAGAGAAATCAAGTTAACCTGATTTGTATGTCTCTTCGCAGCGGGTGGAAGAATTTCAGATATTGCATATATAATGAGAGCTGTTGAAAACTTTGAAAGGTTTATTGAGCAGATGCAAAATAATGATTCAACTCTAGAAACTGCATGCAATTTCATTTAGCTTTAATTTAACATACATATGCAACAATTAAAGTATTCTCATCATATCATCTAGGCTTTGCCACATCTTCTCTGCTCCATTAACATTTTCACTCACAAATCATTTGCAATTCTAAATTATTATTTGGCAAGTGAAATAGGTAAATACGCAGTACAATCATAATTTATATGATAATCTCATGAAT